AGAACTAGAACAGAACTAGAACAGAACTAGAACAGAACTAGAACAGAACTAGAACAGAACTAGAACAGAACTAGAACAGAACTAGAACAGAACTAGAACAGAACTAGAACAGAACTAGAACAGAACTAGAACAGAACTAGAACAGAACTAGAACAGAACTAGAACAGAACTAGAACAGAACTAGAACAGAACTAGAACAGAACTAGAACAGAACTAGAACAGAACTAGAACAGAACTAGAACAGAACTAGAACAGAACTAGAACAGAACTAGAACAGAACTAGAACAGAACTAGAACAGAACTAGAACAGAACTAGAAACAGAACTAGAACAGAACTAGAACAGAACTAGAACAGAACTAGAAACAGAACTAGAACAGAACTAGAACAGAACTAGAACAGAACTAGAACAGAACAGAACTAGAACAGAACTAGAACAGAACTAGAACAGAACTAGAACAGAACTAGAACAGAACTAGAACAGAACTAGAACAGAACTAGAACAGAACTAGAACAGAACTAGAACAGAACTAGAACAGAACTAGAACAGAACTAGAACAGAACTAGAACAGAACTAGAACGAACTAGAACAGAACTAGAACAGAACTAGAACAGAACTAGAACAGAACTAGAACAGAACTAGAACTAAAATAAAATTTAAAAATTTCGAGTCTTAAATACATTTTTTTTTTGAAACCCCTATATTTTCGTCATCACATATAATTCGAAATACAACAAATTATATTCGAATACAAAATGACAATGTAAAATCTGACAATATATGAGAGGGTGGGGGACAAATTAAGAGTAAATGAATTCAACAAAAATATAAAAAAATGATTACAAAATTGTATGCAAATATTCAAACTAAAATTAAAGAAATAAAACAAATAAAAAATTTATAAATTGCAAATATTAGCGTAAATAATTATACTGTAGGTTTAGTTTGAATATAATTTATATTTTATTGTTTTTAGTTTGATGCGCCAATGACTTAATGAGAACTTTATTTAATTTCAAATTCCATTGACTCTGTACTTTAGATGCAGTAGAAGGTACAAGGGGGAGGGATATATTCATATGTTTTAATTAAAATTATAGCACGCGTTTTAGGCATCATGGCGCTCTATTCAATTAATACAACACACATTTAATTTTGATATAAAAAACAAAACGAGAACATTTTTATGACAATTTCAAATGTTGCTTAATTAATGAAAACAGATGAAAAGAAATAAGATAAATGAGTTTTTAAATAATACGAAACAAAAACAATTACATACAGAAAATAACACACAAGATCGATGGTAGATAGAAGCTGCCCTACTACTGTCAATTTCAAAAAAGAGAACAATTGTCAATTCCACCATTAAGAGGAATTACCAAACCCAAAGCGAGAACGAACAATTTAAACAAACATCAATAATAAGATTTTCATAATAATCAGTAAAATGTGTTTTAAAATATTTAAAAAATTTTTCAAAAGTAAACACAAGTAAGATTGATTATTTATTTAAAAGCAAGAAATTTGTTCATTATGCCATAAAAATATTTTTAAAAAATAAAACCACAAAAATATTAATACTCACCTTAGAATGCTCTGCAAAATAAGATTTATTATTTATAAATAATAATAAAAGGAATAAGACATTTAAAAGCATTATTATATCAGTTGTAACAACCATAAAAGTATGCAATATATTTTGGTTAAAAAGGCATCCCTAAAAATATGCTGTGTTTATTACAACAAACACAAGACACTTCAGCCCATATACATCATATTTTCGTAAAGATTTTTCTTCCAATTGTTGTTGCCAAACAACAAATCAATATGTTTAATGGTTGAATTATTTAAGTACCTTAAAATATGCTTCGGAATTTCTTTTTCGTTGAAGTTTGTTGCTTCCATAAAAGATTTTTTAACCACAAATTGACAAGTAAATAAATTATGTGAAGGCAAGAACATGGAGCCAAGTGTTCTGTTAAATTTATTGAAAAAGTGAGTGGCAATGGTGGTGGAAGTGAATAGCAAAACGTGTTATACTTTTTTTGTTGTCATTATGCGGAAATATTTAAATCTTGCCTATTTTTAGGGGAGTATATTCTGTATGCGGCAGAATTTAGCGTGACAATAAACAGGTATTAACTAGATTTTTTATATAACTTCAGATATGAAATTGTTTTGTAAACAGTTTTAGTGAAATTAAGTTTGCAAATCTCGTAAATCAATAAGTGACAAACGGTGTTAAATTCATGAAGAAAATTTTATTAGAAAAATCATTAAAATGAAGAATAATGACTGAATTCGATTAGAACTAGAACAAAACTTGAACAGAACTAGAACAGAACAGAACTAGAACAGATCTGGGACAGAACTAGAACAGAACTTGAACAGAACTTGAAAAGAACTGGAACAGAACTATAACAGAACTAGATCAGAAGTAGGACAGAACAAGATCAGAACTAGAACAGAACTAGAACAGAAATAGAACAGAACTAGATCAGAAATAGGACAGAACTTCAACAGAACTAGAACAGAACTAGAACAGAAATAGAACAGAACTAGAACATAATTAGAACAGAACTAGAACAGAACTAGAACAGAACTAGAACAGAACTAGAACAGAACTGGAACTGAACTGGAACTGAACTGGAACTGAACTGAACTAGAACTGAACTAGAACTGAACTAGAACTGAACTAGAACTGAACTAGAACTGAACTAGAACTGAACTAGAACTGAACTAGAACTGAACTAGAACTGAACTAGAACTGAACTAGAACTGAACTAGAACAAAACTAGAACTGAACTAGAACAAAACTAGAACTGAACTAGAATTGAACTAGAACTGAACTAGAACTGAACTAGAACTGAACTAGAACTGAACTAGAACTAAACTAGAACTGAACTAGAACTGAACTAGAACTGAACTAGAACTGAACTAGAACTGAACTAGAACTGAACTAGAACTGAACTAGAACTGAACTAGAACTGAACTAGAACTGAACTAGAACTGAACTAGAACTGAACTGAACTAGAACTGAACTACTGAACTAGACTACTAGAACTGAACTAGAACTGAACTAGAACTGAATTAGAACTGAATTAGAACTGAACTAGAACTGAACTAGAACTGAACTAGAACTGAACTAGAACTGAACTAGAACTGAACTAGAACTGAACTAGAACTGAACTAGAACTAAACTAAAACTAAACTAGAACTGAACTAGAACTGAACTAGAAATGAATTAGAACTGAACTAAAATTGAATTAGTATTGGACTAGAATTCTATAAAAGTCTGATTTATGTAATCGATGTTAATTTGTATTCATGTGGCCAAATTCATAAAATATTGGGTTAGAAGGACAAATAAAATGTATTTTTTTAAAAATAGTTATAAAATCTCCACTAAATTTTTACTTGCTTAAGTTGGTACAGCAAATAAAATATTTTTCAATATAATATTAAAATATTCTACTATTCTTGTACTTATTTGCGAAATTTCTCTTTATTAAGCACTTCAATTTAAGTTAAATAATAAAATATGCTTCAACTTTTACTGTCAACTTTTTCATCATTATTTAGTTGATACGAAAAAAAATAAACATTTATTAGATGATTTTGGATGACATGAGTGTCTGTGTCTGGCAATTTGTTAAGGTTATTTTAATTCGTCACAAGTCGTCTTTTTCTCTCTTCAACTACAATATATATCACAGATATTTGCCTACAATATGTGCCTCTTTTTTGTAGAAAGATCTAACAATTCCATTCATTTTATTTATTTTTTTAGATGAATAACAATAAGTTGTTTTTATACAACAAAAAATAAACGCATTTAACTTTTATAAAATTATATAAAAATCATATCATATGTGAGTATGAGTTAAAAAGCTTTTATCAAATAAAGCAACTCCTTACCCCCTCCCAGATGTGAAAAATTTAAATGATGACGCACATGAAAACTACATCATACATTTGCCATATTCCTCTACAGTCTTGCATAATTTGTTTTTCTTAAGACATTGATTACTTAGCTTCAATTATATTTGATTCGATTCGAAAATTTTCAATTCCAATCAAATCCTACACCTATTTATAAGCTTCAGCCAATAACGGCGAATAATTTGAAGTTATAAAACAGATATTTACATTTGTAAAAAGTTTATGTAAATTTCGTTAAAAATTTTCCATTAATATAAAGAATGAAATTTCATTGAGTTTTTCCTTTAGATTTGTTAATTTGAATTTTTATTATAAAATAAAAAAATAAAGTATTTTTTAATGCTTTGGAAAATTTTCAGCTTTGCCCAGATAAACCAACGAACGTATTGATTTCCTTTTTCATTTGAAATTTAATACTCAAATTTACATAGATTTACGTGCTTTAGGCATAACTTGTAAAAATAAAATTATTTGCAAAAGGTTTTATTTGTTTATGGTTTATGGGTTTTGATTAATTTGCATATGCGTAGGCGCAGGCGGGTGTAGGAAATAAGAGATGACAATCTATAGGGTTTTATGGTTTATAAACATATAATTTTTATGTTAAATAATAACACATGAGATATATTTAAGTATAAAATAAATACAATAAAAATAGCATCCATAACATATGCTATAATTTAAACAAAATTTAATACTGTTTATAAAAACCAACCACTATAGCTTGCTTTTTAAGAAAATTTGCAATAAACATGTCAATTTATTAGTTGCAATAAAGCTATCCACAAAAAAAGACCAAACTTGTGACTATGACTTTTATAAACATCTGTTTAAATTAATGATTATAAATATATAGCATATTTTTAGGTAAACCAATTAAAATTTAAATGTCTTATACCTTAAGGCATTAATGAACAAATTTCTTTCATCAATTCTAACGTATAATAACCTGTCCCTAAAAAACAACTCATTAACACATTTTATTCTTAAAAACTAAATTCTTTGTAATTAAGTAAAATGGTTTTAATTAGAAAATTGGAAATTTAGCTGACTTACCTTATAACAAAATTAACACAAACCACACTTTGTGGTTTCAGTTTGTCATAAACAATAGTTGCTTGAGTAACGATCCAGCAGTAACCGCCATATTTGCCCAAGAAACGATAGCGACAGGTTTCACCCTGGCCTTTGGAGAGAACTGTAATTAAAGGATTATATAAGAAAATTAAACAACTGAAATACAAACAGCTAAACTTTTTTAACAAGTCTTTATATATGTTTTTATGAAAATTCAGTTTCCAAGGACCATTATTAAATTAGAAAAGAACTAGAACTGAAATAAAGAGAACTAGAACCAAACTAGAATTTAAGTAAAACAACTAAACAAACAGAACTAAAATAGAACTAGAACAGAACTAAAATAGAACTAGAACAGACCTAGAACAGAACTCGAACAGAACTAGAACAGAACTAGAACAGAACTAGAACAGAACTAGAACAGAACTAGAACAAAACTAGAACAAAACTAGAACAGAACTAGAACAGAACTAGAACAGAACTAGAACTAGAACAGAACTAGAACTAGAACAGAACTAGAACTAGAACAGAACTAGAACAGAACTAGAACAGAACTGGAACAGAACTAGAACAGAACTAGAACAGAACTAGAACAGAACTAGAACAGAACTAGAACAGAACTAGAACAGAACTAGAACAGAACTAGAACAGAACTAGAACAGAACTAGAACAGAACTAGAACAGAACTAGAGCAGAAATAGAACAGAACTAGAACAGAACTAGAACAGAACTAGAACAGAACTAGAACAGAACTAGAACAGATCTAGAACAGAACTAGAACAGAACTAGAACAGAACTAGAACAGAACTAGAACAGAACTAGAACAGAACTAGAACAGAACTAGAACAGAACTAGAACAGAACTAGAACAGAACTAGAACAGAACTAGAACAGAACTAGAACAGAACTAGAACAGAACTAGAACAGAGTTAGAACAGAACGAGAAGAGAACTAGAACAGAACCAGCAAGAGTTCTAAATTCGGCTGTGCCGAATCTTATATCACCATGATGTGTTAAAAAACTGTCAGTACGAATTTTATTACAAAAAATTAAAAAATGCCAATTACAAAACGGTAAGGTACCAAAAAGTGCCCTTTAATGGGGTCTCGCTTAATCCAGACTCTACGTACTTAATTTCATGTTTCTAGGTTCAATATTATAGAAATTTCAAAAAATACCTTTTGAAGAACGAAAAAGTACCAAAAAGTCCCCTTTTATGGGTTCCCACTTAATCCAGGCTCTACATAATTAATTTCATGCTTCTAGGTTCAATAGTATAGAAATATCAAAAAGTACATTTTGAAGAACGAAAAAGTACCAAAAAGTCCTCATTTATGGGTTCTCACTTAATCCAGACTCCACAGTGGGGCAGAATGGAAATTTTTTGGAAATAAATCTGGCATTTCTAAATTGCTGATCCGATCGGGATAAAATTTGGCGTGAGCGTAGCCAAGGAGTATTCGAGTTTAAGTTTTGAAGATGAACCCTGCAGATGCCCCAGGGACGGCGCTGTGGCGGCTCAAAGTAGGGTACCTACGACATGTAAAATTTTTAAACTCGTGCCATTTTTTTGTTTTTCACCCAAATACAAAGATTTTTATATTTTGTGAAAGCGCTCGACGAGATCTTGAAAAAACATGCTTGGACATACTACTTATCTCTTATAATATCCGAGTTATAGGCATTTAAAAATTTAGTGATACAAAATTTACCATACCTTGGACCGCCTTTTTTTGAATACCGGGCGTAATTTTGGACCAAATGGACTCAATTTTTTCTTGTTAGTTAGACAACAAAATTTCCAATAATATACAAAAAATTTCAGATCAATATTGTTTACAGATCCAAAAATATACGTTTTTTAATTTAAAAATTCAAAAAATTTTAGATTTTTGGCGTTTTTTTGCCAAAAATGTGTCTTAACTCTTTTATTAATAAAATAAAATTTTTATTAAGAACATATAACAATTTTATAGTTTTCTAAAAGATATCTTTACGCAGAACGCTTTGGCGTAAAAAACTTGTCCTATTTTTTGAAAATGTTGCCACTGCGTCCTTCCGAATATGACCTATTTTTTATCAAAACTTCAACTTTAGGCGACATGTTCTAAAATCCCAAAGCTGGGATCAGAAAACTGAAAGCAGTTTTGGAAACCTCAATATGTTTTCTATTTACTCCAAAAGTATTTTCCCAGCCCTGAAAGAAATGTGGACCCTATGGGCAAAAAAGTAAAAAATCCCATTTTTGGGATTTTCATTCCTATTTTTGGGAATTGCGGGATGCCCTTTGACCTTTTCAATTTTTTTTTTGCATATTCTTATTTGAAATGACAAATTTAACAAGCGTTGAAAATTTCATTGAGTTTTGTTCATAAATAAAGATTTTGTCATATATTACATATTTGTTTAATTTCTAAAACTATGATTTATATCAAAATTTTAATACGATCGCAGATAGCTACAACAATTTAGTCCATATTTATCCCTTAATATCATTTTTTAGTTAGATATGGAAATTCTCGACCCTTTACAAAAAATTTCAAGCCAATATCTCAATTACATTCAAAAATATGTTCATTTAAACCTGTGTCCTTTAATTTCATCTTTTTCATATTTTAGTATTAAGTATGACAGCACATATTTAAATCTTATATTTACCTATTTTCTATTTGTTTGCTTATCCTTATAATGCTTATGCTTAAATTTTCAAAAATTTATAACTATTTTTTACCTAAATTTTTTCAACAGATCATTTCGTTCTGTTTCGTTTATGATCATGTAGGTAAAAATATACAGGTAATGATAATTTCGATTCATTCACTAATAAGAAATATCAATGACTGAATTACAGGTTATAGTAATATAGTCCTAAATGTTAATAGGTAGACAATTCGTAATTTTTTACTTTGGAATACCTGTATCGGAAATGACAAGAATTGGTATATAAGTAAACTTCTCAGATTTTAAGTACCATATTTAATAAATCTACAATGAAGATTACATTAAAGTACGAAGAGTTGTGTTCCGTTTTATGGAGTATATCTTCAAAAGGGCCAAAAAGAATTGAAGACATTTCAAATTATATAAAAACTATATATAGTAGAAAAGTAGACAAAACAGGCATATCAAAAATTGAAAACTTTTTAAAACTTTTTGATGTAAAAAGTAAGTCTGTGGATGGAAATCAAAAGAAATTTCGATTAAAATTTTGTAGTTGGATGGAAACTACTACGGAAATCTCAACTTACAACACATCAATAGGAGCGCCTTGCAAGTCATACGAAGACTTATGTTCAAGGTAAAAAAAAGAGGGTCACACAAAAACTTTTTTCAATCTCAAATGAGGAAATTGCTGATACATTTAACGAAATGCTGAAAAAGGAAAACCAACATATGGATGTCGTACATATTGCAACTATTCTTCCTAATGCATCACCAAAACGACTTAAGCGAATTGTGGAAAGTATACCAACTCCAACATCATAATCAAATTTTACTGAAGAGGAAGCAATAGCGCTTATGTTGGAACTGGGTCTCAGTCGAAATAAGTACCAAATATTAAGGAAAGCTCTGCATGAAAAAGGACACAATATATTACCATCATACAAGGCGATCCAGGAAAAAAAAAAAAACAAACTATCCTACTAAATCAACAAAAAATAATGAAGAATTGAAAGAACTGAGAGCTGCGGAAAAAAGCAGAATCCAAGAAGAATTTAAAGTTCAGATGGGATTAAACATCGACAAACCACTTTCAAGTTGCGGTAGTACAAATGACGGTAATACGTCGAGAAGGTTTTTTCGTGATTTTGAAATTACTTCAAAAATAACTGGAATCGACAAGGAGTTGCTTCGAAGAGTTAAAACTATTTTAATGGCACTGAATAGTAAACATAAAATTAATGAAAATCGATTTGGGGAATACACATCTGAAATTTCTAAATTACTTGTATCTCTGTATCCATGGAGGGAACTAACACCAACAGTACACAAAGTATTGTGTCATGGTCAAATAATAATTGAATCGAATATTCTTCCACTTGGAGAGTTAACAGAAGAAGCCCAGGAAGCGAGGAATCGAGATTTTAAGCATGTTCAACTATTCAGCTCAAGAAAATGCTCCAGGCAATCACAGAATGAAGATATTTTTAATAGTTTACTTCTATCTTCTGATCCTGTTCTTTCAACTATGCGAAAAAGATGGATTTGTTATGAAACTCTATCATCTCAAAACAAGGAAGATTTAAAGGACTTATATTACCTTCTGGATATGTATACCGATATGACAGATTATTTTATAGAAAATAAGTAGTGTTAGGAATTAACTATATAAGTAGGTTATAAGCATTAATTGTATTATGTTTAAGATAAACAGTTCAAATAAAAAAAGCTATTATACTAACTGATGATATTGTATTAAATTGTGTTTTATATTTCGGTTGGCGGGAAAGGTAATTTGTGTGGGGTGATTTAGGTGTTTTTGTGCGTGGCTCATAATAAAATTATAATTTTTTTTATTTTATATACAATATTATAATAAAATAATTAACTAAATAATTTTTAAAAATTGTCCAAATATTTTATTCAACACCAAATGTATGTTCTGTCATACTTAATACTAAAATATGAAAAAGATGAAATTAAAGGACACAGGTTTAAATGAACATATTTTTGAATGTAATTGAGATATTGGCTTGAAATTTTTTGTAAAGGGTCGAGAATTTCCATATCTAACTAAAAAATGATATTAAGGGATAAATATGGACTAAATTGTTGTAGCTATCTGCGATCGTATTAAAATTTTGATATAAATCATAGTTTTAGAAATTAAACAAATATGTAATATATGACAAAATCTTTATTTATGAACAAAACTCAATGAAATTTTCAACGCTTGTTAAATTTGTCATTTCAAATAAGAATATGCAAAAAACAAATTGAAAAGGTCAAAGGGCATCCCGCAATTCCCAAAAATAGGAATGAAAATCCCAAAAATGGGATTTTTACTTTTTTGCCCATAGGGTCCACATTTCTTTCAGGGCTGGGAAAATACTTTTGGAGTAAATATAAAACATATTGAGGTTTCCAAAACTGCTTTCAGTTTTCTGATCCCAGCTTTGG